TTTCAATTTGGATCGGGTTTAAATGGGTTGCAGGTCAATTGGGTTACGAGTCCATCATGTCACCGGACAATTGGGTTACTAGTCGGGTCGGGTTACGTGTGCATCAGATTACGGGTTTATTGGATTGCGGGTCAATTCGGGTTCGGTCAGGTCGGATTATGGGTTATTCGGGTCAACCCATTGGATCATTTACTTGGTGACAGAAAATAATGTTTTACAAACTATCAATATATGAATATAAATTGTAGGTAATGATACTAAATTTAAGAAAATGATAATATGATAAATTGTAGGTAATGATACTAATTAAATATCCATTATGTTAGTATAAAAACTAAATATAAATAAAATAGTGAATATAAAAGCTTTGTTGTTGGTTACAATTTTTTTTGTTTATGGTGAGAGATTGTAACTTCACTTATTTTATTAATTTATAAAAAAATTGAATCAGTAAAAATTTGAGAATTGTTGGGGGGCACTTAAGGGCCCAAGAGGGAAGCCCAAAGGGGCCAGCAGGTGGGGAGTTTGGGTCTGCCAAAGCGAAGGCCCGACCCAAGAGGAGGCCCAGGACTGTGACTTGAGCAGTGGGTCCCAGCATAGAGGGGGCGTATAGCGACAAACAGGGGGGCAATGGTTAGGAGCGTACGGAGGGGACAAGAAGTAGGGCCTGGTGCCTCAGGACCCGGGAGAATGTGTCAGAGTGCCAGGGAGCCTAGCAAGGTAGAAGTACAGTGCATTTAATGGTATGATGACGTAGGACGGATTTGGGGGGCACTGGTTGGCCCCACCCCGAGTATAAATAGTGAAGTGGGTAGAGCTCATTTACGGAGGTTGGTTCTTCTCACTAAAATCACTATTCATTTCTCTCTCTAAAGTAGTAGTCTTGAATTTGGGCATTGGAGTGCTAACAAGCCCTAAGAGGGGTTCGAGAGTGCCTTTGCGTGCAGGGGAGAGACGTGCGAGGAAAGAAGGCTAGTAGATAAAAGGAGGCGATGGGTACAGGGCACAAACAATTGGCGCGCCAGGAGGGGGAATATAACCAGTACCACGAAGGCGCATGGAGATGGGGGATGAGGCTGAAGGTGGAAGAGAGCGAGCACCAAATGAGGCGGCCTCGGTGGAGGCGCCTCGTCTGTCGGAAGAGGAGCAAGGGGAGGACAACGAGGCGGTTGAAACAGCCCAATCGGAGGGCGCCACCCTTACAAAGGAACACCTGATCCGAATAATCGAGGAGCAGAATCAAGTGCTTGAAGCCCTCAAGAAGGAGGTGGAGGTGCTGAAGAAGGGGGCAGGCGCCGCGCCCCCGCTGGGGGTGAAAAGGAGGGAGAGAGACGAAGAGGAAAAGGGGATGTCCACCGCGTTGAGGCGCACAGAGGAGCTGGGACACCGCACCCGACACAGGGCGTCGGATTTCAATGAACATAATGGGTGGGCCCACAACCGTTGGTGCGCAGCATACTGGCGGAGCAGGCTAACTCGGTCATCCTGCCACTGCCTAGCTACGACGGGACGAGCGACCCGGAAGACCACCTGACTAATTACTTCACCAAGATGCAACTTTACAACAGCTCGGATGCAACCTTGTGTCGCGCCTTCCCTTCAACTTTTACAGGCGTGGTACTCGATTGGTATCATCAGATCGAAGAAGGGAGGATCGATAGCTTTGAACTGTTCGCGACGCTATTCCTCTCCAAGTTTGATAGCCGAAAGCGTAGAAGCTTAACCGTTAGTGCGCTTTTTAAGGTCAGACAGCGCAAGGGTGAGGCGCTCAGAGATTTCTATGAGCGTTGGATGTCCGTGGCCATGGCGGTTAAGGACGTAAAGCACGGCAGGACGAGTGCACCACGAGTGAGGAGTTCTGCGGAGCGCTGTCCAAGAAGGTCATTATGTTGGAAGAGACGTTGGCCGCGAGGAGGATTGACAGTCAGGAAGCACGGCAGGATGAAGAAGAAGGAACATGGCGCCTCGGATTCAGTACGCCTCGAACAATCCTTCAGGATTCCCCCTGAGCGCCAGCCGGAATGAGCCACCACGCTTCATGCCGAGGGGAGCCGAAAATTTCACTGAACTCAACGACTCTTTGAAGAACGTGTTGCAGTATGTGAAGGACAAGGGGTACCATCTGCACTGGCCTGGTCCCATGAGGGGGCTCCCGAATGAGCAGAACCTGGATAGGTATTGCAAATTCCACCGAGAAAGAGGGCACCACACTATGGATTGTTACCAGCTTAAATCGGAAATACAAGGACTTGTTGATAGAGGGATGTCGAGCCCGAGGCCAACCCGCACTGGGTGCGTCTGAAGATTGAGGCCATCACAGAAGGCGCTGGAGATCCGCGGTGTGGTGGCTGGATATGAGGTGAAGAGGATGCTGGTGGACACAGGGAGCTCGATGGATGTGCTTTTCAGAACCACCTTTGAGAAGATGCAGTTGGCGCCAAGCATCGTTAGGCTGGCGGACTCGATCCTGATTGGATTCTCGGGGGTGCCTCCGTGGGTCATAGGGCGCGTGCGCCTGCCGGTGACATTAGGGTAGGAGGAACACAGGGTGATGCTCAGAGAGGATTTTGGGATCGTGGATTGTCCTTCCTCCTACAATGCTATCCTAGGGCGCCCATTGTTGGCGCTCTTCAACGGAGTAGCATCGTCGTGCCATCAAGTTTTGAAGTTCGTTACCCCGAAAGGAGTGGGCGTGTCGAAAGGCGAAGCCTCACAGGAGGCACACCTCGCCAAGAGAATGCGAATGTACAACATCGACGTGAGCCCTGAATATTTGCCAAGAGCTGAGGCGGCTGACGCTGAAATTTAGGTGCCGTTGAACGAGGAACGCCCAGAGCGGTGCGTTCACATCTCCGCCCACACAAGCGGCAAAGCGGTCGAGGCATTAGTGGGGCTGCTTAGAGAATTCTCGGATCTCTTTGCCTGGAGTGCAAAGGAAATGTGTTTTCGCGCGGAAGCCAGAATGTTCTTGGGCTTCATGATAACAAAAAGGGGGATCGAGGCCAACCAGAAGAAAGTAGAGGCGATCAGGCGCCTCGAGCCTCCAAGGATTCCCAAAGAAGTGCAAAGTTTGAACGGGCAACTAGTGGCGCTGGGGCGATTCATCCCGCGCTCTGCAGACAGGGGTGCTCCCTTCTTCCGAGTCCTGAAGAGGGCCGCTCGCTTCAAGTGGAGGGGGGAGTGCGACATGGCGTTCGAGTAGTTGAAAGATCTCTTGGTGGCGCACACAGTCATGACGGCGCCACGGATAGGCAAAACGTTGTACCTCTACATCGCAGTCTCACGCACGGCGGTTAGTGCGGTGCTCATCTCAAAGGCGGCAACAGAAGGAGAAGAGCGCCCCGTATATTATGTTAGCAAGGTGAAGACTGGCCCGGAGACGCATAATGCGCCTATCGAAAAGGCGGCCCTGGCTGTTGTCACCGCAGTGGAGAAGTTACGCCCGTACTTCCAGGCCCACACGGTGTTGGTGCTCACCAACTTTCCATTGAAGAGTACGCTAGGATCCATTGATGTGGCGGGGCGCATGATGAAGTGGGCAGTGCAGCTAAGTGAGTACGACATCAAGTACGCGCCTCGCCCGATCAAGGCATAAGTGCTGGCTGATTTCTTAGCCGAAGGAGTGGTGAGTGAGGGAGAAGGAACGGCTGAAACCTGGCAGGTCTATGTCGACGGGGCGACCAGCCGAGTCGGAAAAGGAGCGGGAATAGTGGTCATTATGCCCATGGGCGAGATGCATGAGTTAGCACTCTGATTCATGTCGTTAAAAACAAACAACGCGGAAGAGTACGAGGCCGTGGTGGCGGGCTTGAATACATCGCGAGAGCTGGGAGCGCGGAGGATACAGGTTCGTTCTGACTCAGCCTTAGTAGTAAACCAATTGAATGGGATATTCGAATTGAAAGAGGAGGCGCTGAGCGCGTACCTGCGAAGGATTGAGGACATGCGCGCCTGGTTTGAGTGGGTGGAGTTCCTGCATGTCCCGAGGGAAGAGAACGCTCATGCGGACACACTGTCCAAGCTGGCGACTGCTACTGATTTTGAGTCTGAGATGCATGTCATCGTTTCAAAGGAGCACCCGTTGGATGAACCCATGGTGGGGGCGATCGAGGCGGAAGAAGCTGGAGAAGAAAGCTGGATGACTCCAATCAGGGCGTACCTTCTCTATGGGATGGTCCATGAGGATGCACGCCAAGCGTGGCAAGTGAGGGGCAAGGGGAGGCAGAGAAGGCGATAGCAGAGGTACACCAAGGCGCATGCGGCATGCATGCAGGGGCGAGGAGTCTCGAAAAGGTGTTGTTGCGGCAGGGATACTACTGGCCTTCCATCAGGAAGGATGCAAGAGCCATGTGGGCAGCTGCCACCAGTGGCAGATTCATGCCAATGATGTTCATGTACTCAGGCGCCTATGCAGGGCAACGTGGGCGCGTGGCCATTCGCGCAATGGGGGATGGATCTGCTGGGACCCTTCCCCAAGGTGCCTAGGCAAATGAAATACTTGATTGTAGCGGTGGACTACTTCTCCAAGTGGGTGCAGGCGGAACCCCTGGCGACCATCACCCAAGCCCAAGTCAAAAAGTTTGTGACCAGGAACATCTTCACTCAGTTTGGCCTGCCAGAGTCAATCGTGATCGACCGTGGCAAACAGTTCTACTGCTGGAAGTTTATCGAATTCTCTGACGAAAACGGGCCCAGGTGTGAGATTTAGTTTCGCAAAGTGCCCTTCGTAACATTGCGCCCAGGTGTGAGATTTAGTTTCGTAAAGCGCCCTCCAGCACGCGCCCTTATGAATAGCTCAAGTGAAGTTCAAATTTCTGCCTAACTTCTGAAAAGCAATGCACACTAGTGTTGGGTTGTGTAAGCGCCCTAAGTACTTACTCCCCGGAATTCGGTATGTTAAAGCGCCCTACGTACCCGCGCCTACGACAAGATATGTATAAGCAGACGACATCAAACAGTTCGAAATAGTTAAAACTTCATTAAACATAGAGTTCACAAAGTTACAACGATCGAAATTGAAAACAACAAGGCAATAATGAACAGACGGGCAAGGAGGGCGCCCATCTACTCTTCCTCACTCCGAACCACACCCTCGGGCGTCCACTACGGCTCGGTGGAGCGCCTTTCTTCATCTCCTTGCCCCTCGCCTTCTTCCTCCTCGTTCCCCGCGGCCTCGTCATCCTCTGTGCCTTCAGCTTCCTCCTCATCCGCCTCTTCGCCGTCCCTGCCTTGTCATGCGCCTCATCGGTACCTGGTGGTGGGACGTCCAGCCCCACAATGGGCTCCAGCTCGCTAGCCTTGCGGTCGCTGTCCATGAAACTGAGTATGTGCATGATCAAGGCCATCGAGTCCCACTCCACCTCATGGTGATCCTTGCTGAACTTCTCTTGTAAGATCTCCATCGTGTCAATCACGGTGTCTGCCTGGAGTTTCTTCCCCAGCTCCTTGTTAAGCCTCTGATCGCCGTCGGGGAAGCCCCTCCCACGGCGGTGACCACCGTCCACGGCTCCCCACACAAGCGGCACGCCTCGCGAATGAACGACAGCTAAAACAACCAATGAGCGGGGGAGTAGAGACGTCGTCGATGACCGTTACGAATGCGACGAAGGGGAGCAGTGATGGCAAGCGTGGAACGACGGCTACAGGTCCGGCGTGGGGGAATCTTGCCATTGATGGGGCGAGTAGTAGCAGGCAGGACCATACGTATCTTGGGCAGAGATATGAGGCTACTATTTTTGACATGAAGCGTGCTTGGGGAGGACTTGAACTTCGAATCAAGACCAGAGAGCTACAAGCGACCCAAATGGGAGTTCTTCGTCGGAGACATTCCCTCGAGGATTCTCTTGCATTTCGAAAATGCTTAAGGACAGGATGATGTGGCCTGTAATTGGATTCAACTGCAGCCGAGATGAAGTTCGAAGTTCAACATACGATTGGAAAAAGAGGAAGAAAGGGCCTGTAAAAGGCTCGGGTGAAGGTGTCAGGTTTGCACATGATCATTTAAATCTGGAATCTGAGTTACGAGCTCGGAGAGGCGTGCGGGAGCAATGGTGGAATTACTCCATGGATAAGACAAGGAAGCAGTTGGCACGTTGGGACATGCATGAGTTGCTTAATTTGGAGGGGGAAGATAATTGGTTAGATAATTATTCCTTGCAAGGCTAGCAAATGTGGAGTTACACGTTGGGGCGTCGCGGCAATGATATAGTGATGGAACCAACCACCATCTGAAGGAAATTGATCACTTATGTTGGAGCTGCGTTTGTCGAGTTAGCTCAAGTGCCGGATCGTAACTAGAAGACTCGCAAGCGGAAGAAGCAACCTTGAGCGTTCATTGTTGCCAACAAATGGGAACGGTTCTTCTACATCGATCCCGGTTGAAGCGAGTGTGATCAATTCACCAACCTTGAGGGCAAGGTCGCGCTTAAGGGGGGAGGGATGTTACGAGATCGAGCCATCGTAGCATTTCATTAATTACTGGCCTTGCGTATCTTTTCTTATTAGTCATATTAAGTAATTATTTGGGAATATTAGTATTAATTATTATTAGTAATTGTTCTACTCGGATTAGGAGATGTGTTAGTATTTAATTAATATTGCTTGTAAGGGAAGAAAGGGAATTCTAATAGGAAAAGAATAAGGAGAGAGGCTAAATAGGGTGAGAAGGAAAGGGATTTGGTTATGTAACTCTATAAATAGAGACATCGTCTGTGAATAATAGTATGAGAAGATTAGCACCCAAATAGCTTCTTAATTGTCTTTCGTTTATTGCGAGTTACCTAGTTTCTTTGATCGTTTATTCTATTCTTTCAAGCAATTGTCGATTTTGTTCAAGTTACGTTCTATTTTCTAAGCTTCGGGAAAAATCTACGTAACATGCTGTTGGATAAATACCTAAAAACAGAGATAGGAGCGGCCGTGTGGGCGGAGCGGCACGACGCACGAGGAGATGTCTGCGGGAGCTCAGAGCTGGCCGAGAGGCGGGGGCTGGTGAGTGGCGTCAATGTAGGTGAGGCTACGATCAGTGGGACGATGTCGATGATCGGAGAGGCGCCAATGCTAGGCCCGAGGAGCGAACATCGACGGAAGAACGCAGGTGAATTTGGGCAAGTGAGATATGAGAGCGGTTGTTTTATCAGCAGCTATCTCGCTCGACAGAAAGGTAAGGAGGGAGCTAGAGTTAGGCGGAGTACGGTGGTTTTCAAAGTTGGATGAATCGTCCTTTGTCATGCTCGGAAGGTGAAGAGATAGGTGGTGGGAAGATGAAGATGAGACAGAGAAGTCAGGGTGGTCAAACGAGGCTTTTCAATATTTATCCCCTTGATTTTTTTATTCCTTAAAGCCACATGTATTTTACAGACAAATTGGCTGGAAGTGTTCTCCCTGTCAATATCTCCATTTACATCTCCATTTGTCAAACACCCTAACCCGGCCGGGTACTACTTTTACTAAAATGCCCTTGATAAATAAAATACTCAAATCTTAAATTGCAGCGGGAAAAATTTTCATATATAAAATACGGAAAACACACACTTGTAGCTTAGAGCAAAGCTCTAACACGTGAGCAAATTAAACTCAAACTTTAAAATCTCAATCTGATCTCCAGTCTATACTCATAATCATAAATGTAAATAACTAATAATCTCTAATGTTGATGTTACTAACAACATTGACTAAACATCTGTTGTGACGCTTGTACTGCCCTCCTCTTGTTGTCTGCCCTCGAACTCGATGCTCACTAACTGCTCCTCTAGCCCTCCTCTAGCTCTTCAAACTGGTGAGTGAGATGGGGTCAGTCTACGCCCTTACGTTTTAATAATTCTAATACTAGAGTACTTTACTTAAACACTTAACTTTTACTAGTGGAAGTTGTTTGTACTTCCAATCTTAAAATCTTAACTCTTAAACTTTGACGGAGTTGAAGTTCCTCTCCTCTCTTAAAGCTCAAATCTTGACTTAAATACTTGAGTGACACGGGGATCCATCACTAGCTAGTCCGGTTGCCAACTCATACATATGAGAAGCCATCCAGCCTTTCCTTAAAAACTTAAACTTAGTTAGGGGAGTCGTAACGATTCATCCCCCTAACATCTTAAACTTATCGTGGTGGCTCTTCACCACGATTCTCAAGGGCATAACTGCTGCCCATCTTAAAATTCTCAAGAGCATAACTGCTGCTCTATCTCAAAATGTCTCAAAAGGAAACGGACTGGCGCTAGTGACTAAAAACACTGAAAACGACTTCACCTTCTTGAAGGTGAGTTACTTCTGTAAAGAGACTTGTTTCTTAAACATCAACCATAGCTCAACATAATGCTCTAAGGTAAATAGCACAAAATCACCTCAAATAGCACCAAAATCACCTCAAATCATAGCTCAAGCAAAGCACAGATAAGCAACCATAAAATATAACCAAGCAACGATAACCAATTCGCTAAAATGCTCAAAATCATAATACTTAAAAGAATACGTAAGGCATAGAATTTACCCCCTTTACACTCACCGTTCAGAAGCTAGGACTTTCGTCGAACACTTGGGGAGCATGATCTCACCGAACGTTTCAGTTCTCAAATCAAACACCAATACCAAATTCCTCGACTTCCCATCTGTTTGGACGATCCCATGAAGCCTCCCGCTCGCAAAAGCAAGATTGTTCTCCTGATAAGGGATCAGCTCGTAATTGAGGGTACCAAAACGTATGCTCTTCCACGACCCTGTTCTAAGCGAATACAGATCGAAGACCGGGGGGGGGGGGTAATCTTGCCTCCGGAGGACGACGCAGCCGCAACCGTCAAAACCTTGAAATTGTCGGCGCCAAAACTGATTACGAACCCGGTCATTTATCTTAATTTGATTGGAGAGATCGGCTCGGAATTTTTGGTTGGGAAGGGAATGAAAAATCAGGTCATGGGGTTTTCTTTGGGGAACCGAGAGATAAAGCGGTTGCTCGGCTGAGGCTAGCTTAGGTTTAGAGGGGTTTTTTTTTCTTTTTTTTAATGGTAATAATAGTTATTATTATTATAATTATTATTATTCCTAATCCCCGGTTGCAACTCTTCGTACATAATCGTGAAACCAACCGTTCACGTATTATGGTCGAACCGAGCCCAAAATTCGGGGTGTTACATTTCCTCTACCCTTATAAAAAATTTCGTCCCCGAAATTTGCTTGAAACTCATTGCTCATTCTACACCATCTTTGTACTTCCTTGCCTCAAGAATTTACTCTAGCTAAATGTACTTCGATGATGTCCGTTGCTTGTCCGATGTCCGTTGCTTGTCCCGTATAGTTTACCTCACTTCTTATATTTCCTCTTGACCATAGAAGGAATTCTCACGAAGCTCGTTAGCATTGGGCAGCTTTGGGTGGCTACTTATCCTTTTTTTAATTCCCCACTTGGGCATAAGGCGTGACGGGACAACACTTGAGTCGATTTATTGGTCCAGCCCATTCAGTACTTGTTTTTGAACCTTAGATCGAATTCGAGGTGTCACACTTCCTCCCTCCTTAAGAAAAATTTCGACCTAAAGTCTCACTTGAGGTAATCCTTCTACTGCAAGGACTTATACCTCCTTTACCTTATACAACCTGGAGCTATAAACCCTTGCCTCCAATCCGTGTGGTACTTGGCCGACTTATTACTCACCCATTTTTCATAAATATCTTGCTCAAGCTAGTTACTTGCTCAATGCGTCTATGGCACTCTCCCTTCTCAAATGCCTCTGATGGTGTAATGGCATTCGTAACTCTTGTTGTCAACAATTTGTCTTGGGTCTCTACTTAGGATTCCTTAAGAACTTAAGGAAATAAATTATTAGCCAGCTATTCAGGTCGCGACTCGTCGTAACTTCAGCTCATAACAGGCCCAGACCTTGAACTTCGTCCTCCCTATCTTGACTGCTGACGACTCTCCTAAGTATAGAATGTCTGTAGAGAATGTTTGACCTGCATAATGATTGACTCTGATGCTGGTTCCTAGGTATCATTTCTTCTCCTTCTATAGGCCTCGTTATTCTCCTCTTTGATAACTCCACTTGATACGCACACTTGATGCCTGATTCACCATATATGGTTCCTTTAGCATAAGAAAATCCCTTACACATCCCTATTGACGTTCTTAATACCCCTTTCAACCCAAAGGTTACTAATGGCGGCTTACCCTCCAACTTGTTATATCGCAAGATTCTTTTAACATAACCTCATCTGTGGTTGACAACTTAGATCACCTTGGTCCTTGTATCTCCTAACTTATATCTCTTACTTTCTTCCTTGATACTTCATCTTATCATTTGATCATAAACTGAAAGGTCATCTCCTCGTTACTTCTTTCTTAACGCCGAGACCTCGTACTACTACTTTTACTTTCTGTATGCATCAGAGGCATCCATTGCATCGCACCCCTAACTTGCATTCACATTATTGCTTCTTTCAAGAATCATGACATCCTCCTTGGATTTCTTGTTCACCACTAGCCGCCGAACTAAATACTCACTTATTGTCGCTTGAATTTGCAGTTCTCATACTATCTATTATGCTACTCTTAGACCCTAGCTGAAATTCCTCGTACGGTTTCCCCGACCAAGAGATTTTCTCCCAAGATATTTCCACCTTTCACCAGGATAGGAGACCTTGGTTTCACTTTGGGGTATTCCAGCAGGTTCCCTTAACTCATATCCCTACTACTTCTTTATGCGCGACCCTTCTTCTTGAGGTTCCTTGCTAGATCTAGTTATCCCTTGTTCTCGATGTAGTCCCGTAGGTTCCTATTTTCACTTCTCACTCATGTACCTTGACCGTTAAGGTTCTCCCTCCGACTATCTTTGACGACCACGATTCCACCTTAACAATTGATTGAAATTTCTCGATTGACTTCCCATGGATCATTTTTTCTCTGATGGTAATCACCTTAACGTCTCCTTGTTGACCTTCGTATTCTTTCGCCGGCTCTTCCTAACTATCTTTCTCCCTGAATTTGTCGTTTTATCTACCACCACCCTTTTCACCATAACTTTCATTATAGCCTTGTGGTTTCCTCACTTCCACAACTCCTTCATCGATGCTTGGTACTAGCTTTGATCTACTCAGTTTAGTAGCTCCTCGATATACCTCAGAGCCAACATTTCCTCTAGAAACTTTTTCTAGGTAGACTTGACAAATGACACCCACGACTTCTACTCACGATGGTGCTTGACCCCGTCCCAACTATCTTCCTTCACGCATTCATTGTCCGATCGACAACCACCTTTTTTTATTTTGTTTCCTATAGCGTCCTATGGTGTTCTCCTTGCTTCTTTACTTTTACTACCCTTCTGTTGATGCTTTGTACTATTTTCGGTCACCAAACTTTGTTGAATATATTCTCGTTGTTGTTTTGGGTCAAAGCTTCCAATAGTGGCTTGCCCTAGGTAGGCTTGAACATACCTCATCTACATCTTTTGTCTCAACCGATGCTTGTACATAGCCTTAATCTCTTAGTCATGGCTCTTAGTGGCTTAACTAAATATCACTAATTTATCCTTAACTGGCCTTCTTTTATGGATGACATCCTACTATGTCGTACTCGCTCAGAGTGGAGCACCTTGGGTAAGGTAACTTAATGATTTCCTCCTTCTTGGTAATGCTTTTCCTCGTCGTACTCCACTATGCATTTTCTTGAACACGAGTCACCTACACATATTCTCAATCCTTCATCGGAATTTCCATGTGTTTCCTCGAATTCTCTGCCATTCACTAGAACATTTATTGAACATTCCACTTACTTGTCTATACTCGGTTGGCTTAATGACTTACTCTATAGCTAGTTCCGAGACCTCAACTCTTAGCCCTCTAGTTCCAACTTAGTAGAGAGGTTCCTCCTTCTGTCACCGCTCATGTACCCTAGGGGGCTAGGTGTTCCCCCTATTTAAGAGAGGACAATCCCATAACAGATCATCGTGAACTCTCGCATACCCCTTCCAACGGTCCCAACATCCTCCCGACCTTTTGTGATCAGGGTAGTTTGTCGGGTCTCTACTATCCTCCTTCTAACTCGCTGTTATCTTGGTATCTTACTCACGCACTTCTGAGAAGTGGTTCTCTATTCGTACTGCCATCTACTAGCTAACTGTTATTCTCTCTCACATTCCATGTCTTTTCTTATGTATTGACTCCCCATTGTCTTCTACCAGGCATGCTTTAGACTTTGGTGGCACTTTCCTCCACGTCTCGTCCAATGG